AAGAACCAGACCAGCGTCTAACAGTTTACAATTTCAATGTGTGCGGGCCAAAAAATTAGCCGTACCTCTTTAGCATAAGGTGCTAATGAAAATATTAGCTCACAGTGTTTCTGTCGACAGTCAGGTTCTTCTTTCAGCTTCAGTCCCAAAAGACTACCCACAGTGGTCGAGGCATGACAGATCACAAAACCTGGAGACGATCAACAGACAAAAAACAGGTCAGCTTCTCCAGCCTCCACGTTCTGGTGAATGTCCGAGACAAAACAATCGGCCACTGCGGGCCGTCCTCCGGTCCTTGAAGCCGCCATTTCGACAACGCCAAATTTCTGTCGTCGCAAAAAGCAGAAACACGTTGGAATAATGCCAGAAAAGTCTGCGTATACGATAATCAAATATGGTTCAATTATGAGCAACAAACAAACAAACAGAACTGCATCAGGAAGGTTCTGCATGATTGTGACTGAACTCGTCAGCAGACTACAGCCAATAATATAACATCATGTCAACACCATGTGACAGTTTACAACCAATCACAGACTGCCAAATATACTGTCCAGCCTATCACAGGGCTCCCAGCCCAAAGAGTCTGTTATCAACCAAGAGAATTCAGTCCAATGCGGAGTCTTGACGTCCGGAAACAAACAGAGAGAGCGAAAGGAGCTATCAGAAAGATACGAGTGATGGACAGTGTCAAGGTGAAACAGATATAAATAATTAGTCCATGACAGGGTTTATGTTGTTTAATGTAAAACTTATGTTAACTGTACCACTATGATTTGTTTGTTCTGTAAAATGAAAAAATCAATAAATATATTGTTAGAAAAACAATAAACAATAAAACCAGTCTTTGATAATATAGGGTGCTAGCCTGAGCTTGGGTCTACTTGACCCTCCTAGGGTTCAGTTAAATCCATGTGAAAAGCCAAAGACCAGTTTTATTTACAGGTTTACAGACTGTATCTATAGGTCGAGCTATAAAGGAAGGTCTCCAGTAAGCTTTATGGTCAGGATTATAGATTTGGGTTTTATAACCAGCAGATAATCAACAGTCTTAAACCAAAACAATTTGGTTTCAACTTGACAACATGTTGCTGAGATTCTTCTGTGTCCTTCTTACTGAAACATTGCTTCCAGTTTCTGCACAGTACAGACACGTCTCATAAAAATGAGAGAATCAAATTATGATAAAGACAAGAGAAGATCAATCCAGACCAGTTGTTATTGTTGTTATTCTTTCTGCTGCCCCCTTCTGCAGGGCTCGCCACACCAAGTGGATTTGCATTAAAGATTTGGCAATTGTTTATGCCAGAAGTCCTTTCTGACACAATCTGGCCTCAAACCAATCCTCAAGAATAAAAGCACTGACCACTGAGCTCCAGCAGCCTCCATGTGCTCCATATCTAGTCATTAATGCTTGTTTTTCCTCAGAGAAAGTGTGCGACACAGAAGAGTTAACCTGTAAGAATGGAGGGACCTGCATCAACTTCCAGCGCTGCATCTGTCCTGAGACTTTCACAGGTAAGTTCAGGTGTGAAAACTACAGCTTTGGTAAAGTGGGTGGAGCCACATGAGCTAGGGACTAAGACGTTGTTTGTGTGTGTGTGTGTGTGTGTGTGTGTGTGTGTGTGTGTGTGTGTGTGTGTGTGTGTGTGTGTGTGTGTGTGTGTGTGTGTGTGTGTGTGTGTGTGTGTGTGCAGGTCAGCTGTGCGAGCGAAGCATCTGTCTGAAGACTGGTGGCTGTAAGAACCCTGCTGACAGCTCATCTTCTTTGGTGACGTCACACTTTTACCTGCTGTCCTTCAGTCTGATGACCTCCACCTTCTGCTGACCACGCCCTCATCACAAGTCACGCCCCTTTGTTACATCATGCTTGAACCTTATGTGCTCCCTCTGGCTGTGTGTCATTTCATGGGTTGTYAGCCACTTCTGTCACTGCCTGCTCTGTAGGCTGTCCCAATTCAGAGGCTCCTACCTGAACTGCTGCGTCCCAGTATCAACCATATCCCAGGATTCATTGCTCCGTCAGCACACTAAGCAGAAAAACCAAGATGGCGGAGGTTGTTTTTTTATTTTATTTTTTTTACGACAAAAGTATTTTACAGTGGAGTTTGGAAATTTAACAGACTGAATGAAGGATTGTAAGTTTATCAACTTAGTTGTTGATTTTTTTGCTACAACGAGATGTTAAATAAAATATAATTACATGTACTGATACAGGAGCTGAACCCAAATTATTATGCTTTTAATTTATTTATATGTAACATTTTTCTAATAATATTGAATTTTGTGAAGTTATGCCTTGAAAAAACAAGTGAAGGGATGTGAAATAAAATGTATCACCATGGCAAAGACGCAGCGTGTGGAGTGAGGGTTCTGGATGGTGACACACTCACAGAACAACTTATTCACCTTTTGATTGGCACAAGTTCGTTCCTCAGATCAGTGAAGAAAACCTGCAGCTCACTTGAAGCACCTTTCATTAAAACAAAGTTATGGCCTGTCTTTACACCGCTCACATAAAGCCCATGAGTCCAGAAGTCATGAGTTAAAGTAGAAAAGGAATAAAGTTTCTGTCAGGACAGAGCTTCTGTCTGAGCTGTGGCTCTTATTTTTATTTGAAAGTTCAGTTTAGCAAATAGTTTGGGCTTTGATATTTAATCCTCCATTCTGAATGTCAGACTGACAAGAGGAAAAATAACTAATGGTTC